GATAGATAGATAGATAGATAGATAGATAGATAGATAGATAGATAGATAGATAGATTACAATGCTAGCTGCTAAGAAGAAAACACTGGAAGCTTGTTGAGCTTAACGCCTTTAAACGAATAATTTTGTAAAGGATGCTAGAATAACTGTTTAAAAAAATAAGGTATTGCAAGAAAGAGAAGTGAGAAAATGAAGGGAAGCAACAAGGGAACTTATGCTCCATCAGTGATGGCAACAGATGTTGGCATGGATCAAAGCGGGCTCGTTCGGCTTATTACAAAGAGAGATGGGCAGAGAAATGCGCTACAACTTGCACAAACTCGTATCTTCACGGCGTAATGGCGATGGGAACAGGAAACGGCGGCGGAGGCGTCCGATTGGCTCCCTTACTGTCGTACTCTCCACGCCAAACGTGCTCCGCCATGGCAACAGCAACTGACGGTGGCGTCCGTGACGACAAGGCTCAGAGAACAACACCGTGAACTCGTGCTTCGGCCTCGCTAACACATGTTTGGTGTAAATCCTTTCGGCGGGAGATAAAATGAGCAAGCACCTTTTTCTCTGTATCTCTTCTTTCTTTAAAAAAAATGGAAAGGGAAAAAATCCCCCCCCCCCTTTCCTCTCCCACTGGCTTTTCTCTCCCCCATGCTACGTTCTTTTTAGAAAAGGTGACTGGAAAAGAAAATGACTCCGCACCCCTTTTGAAGCGCTTCAATTCTCTCAGAGGTTTTCCAAAATTCATTTTCTCTCTCGAGAATATTTACCCCCCCCCCCCAGTCCCCTACCCGCAAAAAAACTAACTTTGTGCAAAGCGAGTGAAGGGATTAATATGGTAAGTGCTCTTTAGCGTATTTCGATACACCTCTAAAGGTGGGACAATAACCGAAGACATGATTAATATGTCTTCCAAAGAACCTGTTTGACACTGACTTTCGTCTACCCTCTCTGCCTGTTCTTATCACTTTCGTCTTCATTCTTTGCTGTAGCCACGGGACTTTTCTTTTTATAACGTGTCCCCTGATGATAGCATTGTCTTGGTTGGTGGTTACGTTACCATCGATGCAAGCTTCGTCCCTGGTCTGCGTTCTTCTATACCAACCATCGTCTGCGATGTAGCGGTAAGGAGCTTCGCTGTCGTTTGCTGAAAGCGTGATTTCGATTCACATTCGGGGAGAACATTGGGTATCTTTGTCTTTCTGCTGGGATGTTGTATCTTTCTCAACCTTGGTTGGACCTGACAGGCTGGGTCAAAGCCAGCCTCTCCAAATAATCTTAACGTTGTAGCACCCTTCTAAATCGTTTTCCTCCCTAGAGAATTTGTTGTTTTTCCGTCCCAGTCGTAGATGTCGTGGCCACAGTATGAAACTGCAAGTGTGCCCGTCTTTGTTCTCTTTTGTAATTCGGTTAGCGAGACTCTCTTCCTAAGGTGACTGCTAGGAAATCCAGTAACATGTCGAGAATATCTGAATCTCTTGCTCTCTCTATCTCTCTCTCTCTCTCTCTCTCTCTCTCTCT